GCTCTTGGTGGGGGTCTGTCTCCCAACTGCTAACTGTTTCTTGGAGCTCTGGAAGCTGTGCAGAGCTGTTTGTGGCTTTCTGTGTAGGTGCTGGGGGTGGGGTGGGGTGGGGAAGAGAAGGGGAACAGTTTCCTTGAACAGGAGAGGTGTGGAGATCTATAGTCCAAAGGGCATCTCCAACTGTGTGTTTTTTTTTTTTTTTAATTAGTTATAGGTGGACACAATGTCTTTATTTTACTTTATGTGGTGCTGAGGATTGAACCCAATGCCTCACGCATGCTAGGTGAGCATTCTACCTTTGAGCCACAACCCCAGCCCGACCAACTGTGGGTTTTGAGGAGCTCTTGATTTAAAACAATTGGATCATTTTTTTTTTTTTTCAAAGAAGGCTCACAAGGACAGAATAGGGAGTATGTGGGGGAGGGAGCAGAGAGAGGACCCTGATCTGGGGTCTTCAGATATTCTTCCCAGAGCCTGTCTCTGCCCCTGCCCTTCTGTGTGACCTCTGCCCTGGTTCTCTACTGTCCAACCATGGCCTGAGGCCTCTCTGAGCAGCCACACAGGGCACTGTGGGCTGGCAAGACTTCTTTTATCCCAGATCCAGCTGGGGATGGAAGGACCTGAGCATGGAGGGGATCTGACTGTGGGGAGGGAGGAGCAAAATGGGGAGAGGGCCAGGAGAGTGCGCTGAATGGGTGGATTTGTGATTGGGATTGACCCAAAGGGGAGGGGGTAGAGGGAGGGGTGGAAAGGGAAGGGGCTGATCAAATACCATGGGTTGGGGCTAGGGCCTCGAGGCTGACCCAAAGGAGACAGGGAAGGGGTGAGGCAGGGTCTGGGAAAAACTGACCCCAAGGGATGAGACTGAAGGAGGGGCGAAATTGAGGGGGCTGTGAGCACAGTAAGGGGGCTGGGAAAGCAAATTAGAAGGGAGGCTCAGGCCAACAGGGAAGGTCCGAGCCCTCTCCCCTGGTGGGGAGGGGGCTCTGTCCATATAAGGCAGTTCTGCGGCCCCTGCTCTCCCCAACGCGGGCAGGTCTGCCACATCCTGATGACCGGGCGCAGCGACATGGATTCGCCCGCCGCTTTTTCGGGCTTCCCGGCCCTACCCTCCGTCGCGCCGTCGGGGCCGCCGCCGTCGCCGCTGGCCGGAGCCGAGCCCGGGCGGGAGCCCGAGGAGGCGGCGGCGGGCGGCGGGGAGGCGGATCCCACGCCCGCGCCGGGCCCGGGGCGGCGGCGGCGGCGGCCCCTGCAGCGCGGGAAGCCGCCCTACTCGTACATCGCGCTCATCGCTATGGCGCTGGCGCACGCCCCGGGCCGCCGCCTCACGCTGGCCGCCATCTACCGTTTCATCACCGAGCGCTTCGCCTTCTACCGCGACAGTCCGCGCAAGTGGCAGAACAGCATCCGCCACAACCTCACGCTCAACGACTGCTTCGTCAAGGTGCCCCGAGAGCCGGGCAACCCGGGCAAAGGCAACTACTGGACGCTCGATCCTGCGGCCGCCGACATGTTCGACAACGGCAGCTTCCTGCGGCGCCGCAAGCGCTTCAAGCGCGCCGAGCTGCCCGCGCATGCGGCCGCGCCGCCGGGGCCCCCGCTGCCCTTCCCCTACGCGCCCTACGCGCCCGCGGGCCCCGGGCTGCTCGCCCCGCCACCCGCCGCGCCCGGGCCCGCACCGCCCGCGCGCCTCTTCAGCGTCGACAGCCTGGTGAGCCTGCAGCCTGAGCTGGCGGGGCTGGGCGCCCCCGAGCCGCCCTGCTGCGCCGCGCCCGACGCCGCCGCCTTCGCACCCTGCGCGGCCGCCGCCTCGCCGCCGCTCTACTCGCAAGCTCCCGACCGCCTGGGGCTGCCCGCGACGCGCCCCGGTCCTGGCCCGCTGCCCGCTGAGCCCCTTCTGGCCTTGGCCGGACCAGCCGGTGCCCTCGGCCCGCTGAGCCCCGGGGAGGCCTACCTGAGGCAGCCGGGCTTCCCGCCGCCGGGGCTGGAGCGCTACCTGTGAGCCTCTCCCAGGGCAAGAGCTCCCGTAGTCACTCTCCCTCCGGACTAGAGCGTGCCTTGTGGGCGGCCGCGTCGCGGTCCCCACCACCCTCCCGCTTGGGGCGCACCTCTGAGGCCCCATCTTTGCCTTCTGAATTGAACACATCTGCAGAATCCTTCGCTGTCCTCCACCCCTGGGGAGACTCCCTCCATCTCAGACACTGGACTGTATGTCCCCTCCAATTTGTGAGCCCTTCATATCTTTTCCCTCCACTTATGAACTCCCATCTTTGCATCCCCACAGCGCTGTGGGTCCCAGGGAGCTGGACTCCCACCAGCGAGGTGCCCCCAGGTGTCCTGGTGAGTTCCAAGCCACAGGACCCTTTGGTCTCAAGCTGCCTCCTCAACTGATTCTACCTGGTCATCCTCCTCTCATGTTTTGTCAATACATTAGAGGTCAGACTGCTGGGTTCGTTACTTCTCTCTTACTCACCATCAATTACCTATTTGTCCTCTATTTCTCAACTCCCCTTTCCAGACAGACATACCTGACTGCCTGTTCCAGACCCCGAGGACAGTTCTTGGAAATTTCTGAGACAAGCAGCACCAGGGGCTCCTGCCTGAAAGGGGAATTAGTGGGCCTTTATGTCTGCCCTACCCACTGGAAAGCATAGGATTTATCAGGTTATTATTTTTTAATTAAAGCTGATTTAATTAAAAAGTAAGAAGAACCCTTTCACTGGGCTTGGTGTGTTGGTGGTGACTTGGTGTGCTGGCTGGAATGTTTGGGGAGGACAGTGGGTGAGTTTCACACCTTGGGATGCCACAGGGGATGAACCCTCTTGCGAATCATCAGAGGTTCATGAAGTGCAGTAAGGAGGTGATTCAGCCATAGCTGTGCACATTTGCCTAGTCTTCATCATCTACATCTCAGCCTAGTAGAGGTGAGATGGGGTTGCATGGGTGTTTGCATGCTTATATGAGTGCATTTGGGCAACAGGGTGGCCTGCTATTTGGCATCCGCCCATAGATAAGGGAGCATTGACCTTCATTCACTCCTCCAAGTGAATCTTTAATAATGTGTTAAGCACTGTGCTAGGCACTGTGGATACATCACTGAACGAATGGGCAAAAACTGCCTCATATGGAGTGTGTAGATTAATGGGGGAAAAGACATTAATTATCACTGCTCTGAGAAATGAGATAAGTGCTCTAGAGCCTTGTGTTTAAAGTGTGTCTATGGACCAACAACATCACCTGGAAGCTTCTTAGAAAATCAGGATTTCAGGCACCACCTCAGACCAACCCATGGAATCATCAGATGTTGCATTTTAACAAAATTCCCAGATGATTAGTATGGGCACTAAGCTAGAGGAAAGGCACCAGTCTCAGGCTGAATGCTCAGTCTAAAAGATTAAGAAGAGTGAGACTTCACAGACCACACCACCCTTCTGGAGCAGGGCATGCATTGTAGGCTGTGCCTACTATTTTACCTCTTCTGCTGGATTGAGATGCAGCACCATTGATCTGAGCTGATTCATGACTGACCCAGCACCAAGGACAGGGCAGTATGGAGCAGGATACTCAGAGGTTAAAGTTTGAGAGAGGAAGCTGGCCTTTGACCCTGTTCTGCTCTCTGGTGCTGACCCAAATGGTAAGCAGCAGGCTTTTCCAAGTTTTCTGCCCAGGGCTCCTGGTCTAGTAGAGCCTGGATTAGGGATAGGGAGAATAGAGGATGATTTGTCTTGATCCCAGGGTAAATATGATTTGTTTGTTGGATGTGCCTGATGCACCTCTTCTAAATACCACTGTTAGAAGCTGTGGGGTGGTGGTGGAGGGTGAGAGCAGCTCATAAAGGGGAAAGGTACAGGGAATCTAGGAAGGAGGAAGGCTCTCTTTGGAGGTAGGGCAGTAGGTATGCCCAGTGCAATAGAAAGTGCCCTGTTAAACACCCTTTCCCCCAACTGTTAACTGCTTTGAGCAAGGGTTAGATCCAACTTGCCTGATGTAGAGCAGACTTTCACTTAATATTTGTTGAATAGTTGACTGAACAAATGAATTCCTAGGGTCTAATACTGTGCCCAACTTACCAAATAATGACTAAGTGGGCTGTAGATTGACACTTTTTTTTTCTTTTGTCCATTGTTACTTGCAGTCCCCACAGTGACTTGTGTAAAAGTCAAAAAGAGGAGACAGAGGTAGAAGAAGAGGCAATTTCCTCACTTGTCAGTTGAGGAGACTGCACCTCCCTGGGCTCAGTATGCAGCAGAAAATCCAGTCTTGCGTTTTCTAAACAGAGATCCACAGAGATCAAAATGCAAACTTTCTGCTTCAAATGATATTACAGCCCCTCTTCCTACCTCAGAGGACCTGTTTGTTGATAAATTTCTCCCGAATTCAAGAAATTCCCAGGGTAGGGAAGGACCTTCTCACTGTCCTGAAGTTGGAAAGTGCTTCCTGATCTCTGAATTCCATTATTGTCATCACTTCATGGACTTAGTTCCAGGATCTTTGACCACTCAGAGGACAAGGAGACAATATCTGTAGGGACATTCTAGAAAGGCAACTGCTGAACTGGAAAGTCAGAAACATTTTTATTTTAAAATGCCTCCTGAATTTTTCTTTATCAAGGGCTGACTGTATGCCAGGCTCTGTGTCCATTTGTGAAGCCAATAGAAATACAAATTAGAGACTCTTTATGTTCTCAGAGAGTGCATAGTCTGGAAAGCTATATGTCATTTGGCACATGTGAAAAAAACAAAAAACAAAACTTAACCAAACTCTTTCTTTAAAGTCACCATTTTTTGTCTATTAGTGAGATTTCAACATTCTTTCTCCTTTTGGGTGAAAAAATAGTCTAAAAGAAAACTTCAGAATTGTTTAATAGATCCTTGCCTCTTCATTCTTATAGAAACCTTTAAGTCATTTTATTCTAAAGACACATTTTAAATGCTTAACTTTAATTTTTATTAAATTTAAAGAAGCCCTTAATCTAACAAGTCAAATAATAATCAAAGGCTTACAGTGGTGTCTTACCCCACTCTTAGGAAACCTGCATTTCCCCCACTCTTAGGAAACCTACATCTTCCCCTGTACATCTACTTTCAATTTGTATTTGTTTCTTATGGAATATACTTCCATATCTCCATGCTTATACTCCTCTCTCTTGAAACAGTAATGATTTAACTTTCTATTACGATAGATAATCATTTACCTCTAAAATGTCTCTCTCTTCCCATTTCTACCTATATCACCAACTTTTGGTTAAGTCAGTTCTTAGTACTTACATTATTACTACTGTATAAATATTATTCTTTGATAAGTTACTAGTGGACCATGATCACAACTCCTTTCTTTGGGGATGCAACTTTTTATTTTTCCTGGAATTAATAATGCCTTGGGATTTTTTATTTGCTCAGCTTCCTTTATGCTTACTGCTAAATCCTCCCATACCTTCTGATAGTATGGTGGTACACTTTTTTTTGTGAGTCAAACTTATTATGAAATTCATCACTCCTTTTGGTTGCATGCTTTTGCCTTCCTGGAGACATCTCTCCCAAATCCCTCCATCCTCCAGTTCCAGTCTGGACTGACAGCTTTCCATGTCTGCTGTACAGATGTRGACCTGGAATTCCCTCCATCTTCTGCTTCCTGGATTCCATATCTTCCTTTTTCTTGGTTTATTTCCTTGTTCCAGCAGAGGTAAATTGTTTTGGAAACTGCACATCTGAAATAAGATAATTGTTTTAGCATGAAAAGCAAAGCATGCATTTTGACATGTTGAGTCAAAATTGTGTTTCTGTAGACTTTTATGGAGGAGACTGGGGAACAGGAGAATGGGAAGTATTTTTTCAGCTTAGTTTGCACTTCCTCCAAGGAAGCTGGGAAGGTAGCTCAGTGTTAAGGTAAGTGGGCAGGAGGATAAAGTGGGGGGGGTGCTTTGAGAACTCCTTATAGAAGGAGAGCTAACAAGAAAAGCCCTGAGAGAGGGCTGTGACCTAACTTCAGGTAATTGTACCATTGGATGCTACCTTTGGGCCCAAGATGATGCTGAGTTTGTTTGAGGACCTTCTGAGTCCAGCACATGAAAGAAGGCATCATCACCTTGGCACATGGAAGTATATTGGAAAATGTCACCTTTGGTAGGGACACTGACAATGATGACAACAGAAAGGCTCCTTCAGGCATCTTTCAGACCTCTGGGCACCTGGGAATGCAGGCAATTACCTGGGAAAGAATAATGAGTAATGTGGAGAGCCCTCCATTGTAGTAACTGGGTTGTTTCAAGCCCATGTGAAGTAACTCTACGAGAGTTCCTGGAAGTATGGGTACAGAGGTAGGATAAAGGAGGTTAATAGGGTCTACTTTAAAGGAAAAAAAAATGTGGACCTCTAGTATTGACTTTAAATTTTATTATAATGTTACTTAGTATGTGTAGGTATAAATTCCTTAAGTTTCTACTTTTTATGTAACTGTTAAACATTATTATCAATTAAATTCAAACAGAGCAACAAAATAAAAATTCAAGTTCACAGCATTAATCAAATGTAAAAAAAGATACTGTTTTGCTGAAACTAAATCACTTGCACCCTAAATGTGGTGTTGATTTCTCTATAGCAGATCTTTTGGGGTTGGAATGTCTTGACTAAATTCATCCACCATTTTTTTTTTCTTTTCAATGAACTGGAACTATTCCTTCTATCACCTGGCCCAAATGCAACATTTATTTATAAAATCTACATGTATTGCCCCATATCACTTGATAATAAGTGCAAATGAAGACTCTAAATATCAGGTTTCTTTTTTAAGGAGGACGTTGACCCCAATTATGCTTAAATATTAATGTATTTAATATTACCATTGCAATGAAAAAACATTTCAAAATTCTCTATTTTCTACACGTATAAGAACATATTATTGGATCATACTTCAAGTAAAGCAAATGAAAATTTAAAAATGCTTATTTAAATAAATAACTTTTGTTAGAAGAAAGCTAATATTAGAGATTATTCATAAATCAATAAAGTGAGAACAGTACATATTAAAATCCAAAGAATGGGACTGAGGATATAGCTTAGTAGTAGAGTACTTGCCTAGCATGTGTGTGGTTTGATCTCTAGCACTGGGAAAAAAAATCCTTAGGATATAGCCAACCTTGTGTTCAGAGGAAATTTCATAGCTCCCAAGTATGCTATGGAGATGGTGTTAGAGAGACCTGGGGTGGGGTAGGGAGACCAGTTAAAAGGCTACTGCAGTATCCAGCTAGAATAGGAGGGTAGCTTGGAGGAGAAAAGTAGACATACAAATACGTGGAAACAGTCAACCATTAACTGAAATCCTAATTTAGCAAGACCACAAAGTTTCCCATTTAACCACAGCATCATGCTGACTCCGAAAGCTTAGGGACTCCTGGTCTGGGTTGACTAATTTAAGAAGTAACTAATTTCAGACCTCTGAGCACAGAAGAAAAAGAAAACACTGTCAGAGCAGGTCTTCTCATTGCTTCCACGGGAGGGCATCTAGGGTGGACTTGTTGTCTGTTAAGTTAATCAGAAACTGTTTTGCTAGTTATATAAATTGATACAGAAAAAACCAAAAATGGAAATCATCCTAAGTCAATCTACCTATTTATGTTATCAAAACCTGGTAAAGAAGGGGTGAGCCCACCATAGATAGTCTAATATCACATATGAAAGAAGATGGAAATTTTCCCAGCAAATTGAATCCAGGAATGCAATATAAAAAGTATACCATCAAGTGCTGTTTATCCCCAGAATACAAAAATGACATTATTAGGATTATTATTATCACCCCTTTATATAAGCTGTGCAGATCATCACATTTATAAATGATGCAACTGGAGTTCATAAGTCAAGTGAATTACCCAAGTCAAACTGCCAAGTGACATTCAGGACTGGACTCCAGGTCTGTCTGATCCAAAATCATTCTCCTTTCTCAGAGAAGTGAATGGAGGTGGAAACTTGGATGGAAAAACCTCAGGCATTAATAACTTTTCTCAGTTTACCCCAACATCCTCCCCCGCACACCCACAGTCCTTGTCTTGAAAGGGATCTTTCCAAGCCAGGTGACAGGTCTTTGGTTTCCTATTTCCTCCACTCTGTTCTCAACTCCCTCCTTAGCTCCATGCTGCCCCTCTCCCTCTCCTTTTCCTATACTCCATCCTCCTTTCTCTCCCTGATCAATTCATGGGGACAAATGCGCCACCTATTGGCCACCTCATACGTACCAGACTTGAGTAGGAAATCATTGGAATGAAGCCAGGATCCACTTGGATGCTCTCTGGGGCTGGTGGGGAGGGGAGGTTCTGATGGCTGAAAGGCACTTGCTCTAGTGGGAAACCTAGTTGTTTGGCATGGAAGAGGAAAATTGGCTGCAGTTCACACCTCCTCTGAGAAGCCCTCCCAGATCTTCCACATTCTTCTTGGCAGCCCTTGGTAGCTGCCCTACTACAGGAGGTCTTGGAATAGGGGTGGATGGGTGTCCTAGGTGCAGAGAATTGATCTACTCTGTAAGAGGGAAATTGAGGAAAGGATGCTGGGCTGGGGACAGAAAACCTGAGGTCTAGTCCCAGGCCAAAGATTTAGACAAGTCCTTTCCTTTTTCTGTTCCTTGCAGCAATTCCTAACTCTCCCAAGCTTCTGGACTCTGCCAGGCCCTGTTCTCCCCAATTGCAGGTGCAGAGAAGCAGCAGATACTGTCCCAGCTCAGAGAAGTCAATATTGGTGGATATGACAAATATAGTGTGTAGAGTGCTTCATAAGATGAGGGAACTGTAGTTCACCTGGTCACTCACCAGTTTGAGCCTCTGCCCTGCCCTCAGCCTTAGTGTCCTCTGAAGACAGAATGTGTTCTGATCTCTATGTCTGGGTGGGGGTGGTCTTTGTAATCATCAGTAAGGATTTTTCTACTCTGCCTGAATGTGGGTTTCCAGATAGGGCCTGTTTTCTTTCCTCAACTGTCTCCCTCACTGGGCAGTCTGGGGCTTTCGCCTGGGCTGTCCTTGTCTAGAGGCTGGACTTGGGTTGTAGGTGGTTGAGGGAGAGAATTAGAGATAGGGGTTCTGAACCCTTCTTGGAGGAGACACAGGCTACAGCCTGGGCATTTGTCTTCACGACTTGATGGGGTTAGGGAGTGCAGCCAGGGCCTTGTGGGCTCACAAAGGCAAGGTTTCCTAGAGGAGCTTGGTTCTGGGTTGGGTTGAAGGAAAGGAAAGAAGGAGCTGCTATTCTGATTTCTGTGAAAATCCCTCTGCCTCCCTTCATCCTAATCTCTGCCCAACCTTGACAACTGAAAAAACTGACTACTTTCAAAGCAGTTTAGGTGGAACAAAGAGAGGGAGGCAGCCGAAGACAGAGGAAAGGGAGCAGAACAGGAGGGAAGGATGGCAGATCTGGGGTCCCAGTGAGCAGACCTGCCTACTTCCYTCCTAGGGGCCAGTGATAGACACTTAAGGTACCACTAAATCTGGCTTTCACATCCCTTGCCTTCAATACTCACATCCACCAACTATCTTCTCAGGTTGGAGTCCATGGGAAGTGTATTTATTGTGGCTCATAGCAATTATTTTAGTGTTGTCTATAGCAGTGGTTTATATTATTGTATGTTCTGCATTTAGTCTTTATTGGAATAATTCAATTGTTTCTTTTAAAGCATTTAATTAATTGTTGAATAGGTAATATATTCACTTGGTTTTAAAAGTATTCCATGAATGTTAGGTGTGGTGGTGTACACTTTTCATCCCACCAACTGGAGGCTGAGGCAAGAAGGTGGCAATTTCAAGGCCAGCCTCAGCAACTTGGCAAGGCCCTGTCTCAAAACAAAAAGCAAAAAGGGCTGGGGTAAAACACTCTTGCGTTTAATCCCTAGTACCAAGAAATAAGTAATTTTATAAAGTATCCCATGAAAATTCTCTTCCATTCTTGTTCCCTATTTGCCCTAACAGATAATCAATTATTCATTTTTATTCATCCTTCTAGACATTTTTGTTGCATATATATAAAGCAATATAAATATGACATGATTTTCTCCTCAGAGAAAGAATCCCCAACATTGGAGGTGACCTGCAGAGTGATCCCCAGCTCCTTCACCTCCACAGACAGCATGTGGATCCTCTGTGGGAAGATATTTTGCCCTCTGTCAGAAGAGGTTTCCTTTTCTCTGTTTTATGCAACTCTTAGATTATATTCCTCAGCCAGTACAAACACTCCTCTGTCCTCTGAATAGTCAGTGGGTCTGTGGCTATGTCTTGGTTCATTTTGTCCTTTCCAACCCTGAAGATCCCTCCCCATGCATCTCGATATCCACTCATGTTCCTGGTGTGGCCTGGATGCCACCTGGTCCACAAAGCCTCCACTCCATTCCAGGGCATCCCAGGGCACAGGACTTTTATTCCTTCCACTGTCTTGTGGGTAGTGAATGGTGTCTTTTTTGTGTGTGTGTGCCCCTTGCTGCATTGTATGCTCATGGGAAATAGGCATTACTCCCCTGGAACATACAGGAACATGTATTTTGTACTCACTTTGTATATACGTATTACTCATTTTGTTTGTGAGCTGTGAGGATGATACTTGGCTTGTGGACCTATGACCTGTGATGACTAGCCTGAGGCCAGCGTATCTCCCCTTGGTTGGAATGTATAGGTCAAAACTTAAAAGTTATTTTTTATTCATAAGGGTTTTAACCTGGTCATCTCATGCCAGTTAGAAG